TGGGCCTTAATAGCCTTGAAGGCCGCCTTCCACTTGCTCTTGGCTGCCAGTGACTGCTGGAGTACCTTGTCCTCCTCTTCTTCCTCTTTGGTCAGCTGTGATTTTGTGAACACCAAAACAAGGATGATTAAACCCAGTTCTCCAATGGGTACTGGTCATGACTACAAAATCGATACAGGTTCTTGCTGGCCAAATCTCTGCAATACCACCTTTGTTGCACAGGTTCTTCATTACCAGTCATGAGTCCTGACTATTCCTTAGGAAATCAGTGCTTTAGTCTTTTACTCTTTTGGCTTCAGGCACACAATGCTGCATTAACATTACAGATTACAGAAGATGCCTTCAGTGACATTTATTAACTACACTGTTACATTGACAGGTGTAAATGCAGAAAGTTCTGAAGCAAAATAGATTCAATAAACCTATCTGTACCTAATCAAACCAGATTCTGAGCGATTTGCATTAAGCCGCGAGAGTAGAGTATTAAATATTAATGTATCACATGGACAAAATGACGCTTCATTAAATAAAAACAAAACCTTCATATTTATTGACTGAAAAGTTCAAAGCCATAGCAGCTTCATTTGGACATGGTTTTACTGCACAAGGACTTGCGACTCAACCAAATAACTTGTACTTGAACTTGCAAGAAATGGCATGCTGCCACATCTCTGTTTGCCTACAAGGTGAGGGATTACTTACAAATGAGGGATCGTCAAATCTGGTGGCCATGTCCCGGGCCCTTAGGCCTCGAAGCAGACGTGAGGGCAGGTCTTTCTCTGGGTCCTTGGCAACTTCCTCTCTCATCGTTTCCTCTGCTTTCTCCTGGAACCCGAGAGAGTCAACAGAAGAAATTGTAGGATTTGAATTGAGAGAGGTATGCTTCAATGGTCTCGCAGTAAGTGAGGGGAGAGGAACAGTTGGGTTGGGTTGCAGCAAGGATTGGGTGGATTGGATTGGGCGGGTTAGGGTGAAGTGAGTTCAGTTTTGAGTGAAGTTGGTTAGGTTCGGAGAGTGAGGATTGAGTAGGGCGTGCTCGTGGGCCTGGGATTAGGTGGAATGGGTTGATGAGGATGGTGTGAGTTCAGGTTTAAGTGAAGGTGATTCGGTTTGTATGAACTGGATGGGGTGAGGTAGGGTAATGCTGGGCTTAGTGAAGCAGGATGTTTGAGTTGGCTATGTAGGATGGCCAGGTCCCACAGGTGGATTGGGTCAGAACGGGGTGTATTTGGATAAGTACAGCGGGTGGGTGGGATAGTTGGGTCTGAGGTACGGTAGGTCATCAGGCTGAGCTCACCTTAGTTTTCATGACCTTCATCCTAATTCGTTCCCTGATGGAGGCATTCAGGTTCTTGGAGGGCTCTGGCATGACCACTCCTGTTTGAGCAGCTATCACCGCTTCCTCCATACTCATGGGCTCTAGGACGGGGGGAAATAAGACCAACAAGGGGTGAGATGATGGGACAGCACAACTGGTGAGATGGGAGTGGTCGTGATCAGGTCCATCAGAGCAGCTGTCAAGGCTTCGTCCATACTCGTGGGCTTGAGGTGAGGGGAAATGACACCATAAAGGTGAGATGATGGGACAGCAATAGTACTGCGACTAGTCAGACATCCGACGAGATGGGAGTGGTCACGACCACGCCCTGAGGAGCAGCTTTCGTGGCTTCCTACTGCCTGCCTTGCCTGGAGGTTTCCCGAGGTTTAGCAGAGTTTTCCGGGCTATCTCAGGGTAATACCCCCAGTTTACCCTTTCTTTCATTTTGCATTCGTCCCTCACCTTTGCTATCCTTCCTGGCCTTGCTTTTCTTCTTCTTCCCCGCTCCTTCCTCGACTGACTCATCCTCCGGCTGCCCTGCCTCATCCGCTAGGCTCCCAAGCTGCTCTGGGGCGGTCTCTATCTCCCTCTCGGGAGCCAAGCGCTTGACTTTCCTTCTGGGGGCTTTGGCAGGGGGCTTGCTGTCGTCAACAGGCTGTTCCAAGGCAGTAGACAACTACCCAACAAATAAAAAACGGCACGAACCTCAACCAAAGCTAAGACTGAGTGAAAAATTTAAACTTTAGTCCCCCAAAAAGCTTCTGTCTTTTGTAAGTTTTTCAACGTCTGGTTTATAAAGAACATGTGAACCACAGTGGGCGGATTTCTTAATTCTAGTCTAGTTCCCACCCTTCTGAATCACAGGGTACAATGAGGGGACCAGTGAAAAAAATTTAAATTATAGACTGGTTACCATCTCTCCTTCTAGCGGGACCAGTGAAACTGGTTCCAACCCCCTTTTGAACCCTCCCTTCCTTGCAATCTCACCTCTTTCAGTTTCTTCTCCCGATTTGATGTCAGCTTCTCCACAAGATTCTCCGCTTCTCGGATCTCCTCCATGGGCTTGAGAAAACAGAAATTTGTAAAAAATAACAGAAGTTCAAAAACCAAGCATTTACTGCAAACAAAGGAGCAGAAAATTACGCACGATCCTGCAAACAACAAGCCTTAATTACAACATTGGGCTCCCATACCAAAGTCATGAATTTGCTCATTAAGTACAACTTCATAAGTCACAGGTTTGAATCCAAGTCCAATACAACCAAAAATTCAATATTAATTTCAGGCAAAATGGGGGCAGAAATCACCAAATGTTATCCCCACTCCAAAACCACGCAAAGCAAGGTAGTTTGGGAAGTTGGACAATTCCCCTACCCTCTGTTAATTTTCTCACATAAAAGTTATCCAAAGAAAACAAATTACTGCAGAAACCAGTAGGTGATCCACTGATAATATTCAGATAACTCAATATTATGCAGACTCCATAAAGACTAATGAAAGCCATGTTTGATTCAATATTTCGTTCTTTATTCAGAACATAATTCCTGAAGATGTTCTGAATAAAGAACGAAATATTGAATCAAACATGGCTTTCATTAGTCTTTATGGAGTCTGCATAATATTCAGTTACTGCAGAAAACGTTGATATTTAATACTGGCAACGAACATTGTGGAATTGGCCTCGTTCTGAAATGCTGGGTCACATTTGTAACCTACATGTATGTATGTGAAAAATCAAGAATGCTTAAAATGCAATGAAACACACTCATATTTAACAACTACTGTACATGTAGGTGGGAACAGACAGCTCTAGTATCTACATATATGCAAATTTGTGTGCTGACTCACATCCACAATAGTCTCCATCTCCTCCACTCCATCATTTTCAAGCGTCACAGTCTGGGTAAAATAAAAACTTCTGAATTATTTTTCCAGTTAAAGAACACATATTTTTTTCTCCTTCTTGCAAACAGAAGGGGTGATCTGGTGTTTCAAAAACACGTTTTGGGTCAAAGATGAAAGTATAAGAAGACACGACAGGCAAAAAGTCTAATCAAGTAATACACCAACAAGCCTACATGTAATAAGCAGAGCTGGCGAGAGTTGCGACACCTTCAGATTAGAAGCCATTTTGGTTCCTACATGTAACTCTGCAGGACAAGTGCACCCCTGTGGGTATAAAATAACACATTCCAACCTTTTGTCATTTTTTGGGTATTAGCACACCCTACACACAACAGCCAACTGTTTTGGACAAAAAATGGTGGCACGCATACCCTCTTGTCAGTATATCACAACTCTATCTACGTGTGCGTCTGAAACCAAAGTACATGTCATCTCAAATCTACATTTCATTTCATGAAATTCTGACATGTGCTATAACACTGTACACATGGTACACTCAGTGTTTGTCCCCGAAAGCTTGTGAAAAAACCACAAGTGTACTCGAGTGGGACTCGAACCCACCAAATTCAATTAACATCTCCCTGGCACAAATTCATCCTTGGAAATAGTTGTTCAGGGTACCCGCTGCTACATCTGACTCGAACCAGCCAGCCGACACCGGCAAGCTCAGTGGTCAAGTGGTTAAGACATCTGCATTAGAAGGAAGTCGTGGGTTCGAGTCCCCCCCCTTGTATGCTTGTGGGTTTTATTCACAAGCCTTCAGGGGCAAACATGGAGTATACGATGTTCTGATACTTGTCAGGCAGGGCAAAAATCCAAACTCTAGGGCCTACATTTCATGTTTTGTCAAATACTTGTAAAGCTTTAAAAGCCTCACGGAATAAATTGAGAAAGACAAAATTTGTTCGAAGGAAATAAATTTGATTGGATGACGATGCACACGTGCACATGTACCCACCCCATTCCTACTGGTAGACTGCACCATCTCTAGGTCCATGGTTGGTGTCATAGACTCGCGTAGGTCCTTCCTGCGTTTCATGAGTCGCTGCTGTAGGGTTCTTGAATGAAGGAAGATATATATTGTACATGTACTCACAGTCGGTAAACTAATTTCAGCGACTTTGCATTGCAATTACAGATGATCCACAGAACTCGGTATCTGATGATCCAGCATTCTTGCAGTCAGGCGGCCTTTTTGGAGAGATTCTTGTTGGAAAATACAGACCTAAGTATGTTTTGAAACAACATTCCACCAGTATTTTGGGGCAAAACGAGCAACAGTTAGTATTTTGGCACTCAACTCGTTCAGAATCCATTCTCATTTATCAGGTCGAGTCTATGGTACCAATGGGCCCTTGTGTATGCAGTCCATATCAGAGAGACCCAACAAGTTCTAGTTCTGGGAGTGACAACTGATCACTTTTTTCTGTCTTTCAACTTTCCACTGGCCAGCAAAAATTAAAATAAGAACATTAAAAAGTATACAATAGGCTCAACCTGTTGTCTGCCGCCCATACACAATTTCACAGGGTGTTCCCATTTGCCAAGCGTTGTATGCATGCGCACATATTTAATAGCTACCTTTCAGGTGTCTGTTTGAACAGGAGCATTTTACAGTTGTACGCCCCCAAAACTGCCAGCAGCAAATTTGTTACGTTCTTCAGTGATGCCAGTATATAGAGGGATCCCAATGTGACGCTTTTAGCGTCGATCTGCGCACTTCCGCGTTTGAAAACAAGGCTGTATGTGTCAGCTTCAATTCTTAATACGATCAGACGATTGAAAGTAAGGAGTCAAGATGCAAAAAAGGTATGTTAAATTCAGACTTTTCAGGCGGCAAATTTTGGTGGAAGAGTCTTTCAGGATGACTCGACATGTAAAATCAAAAGAAAACAGCATAACGGCAGAATGACTTACGAACCGGATACTCATGTACATTGTCGAGTCCGGGGGCGTGTGCGCAACGTTCAACATAGAGAACCTCGGTTTCAATGCGGATATGCGCAGACGGCACTCATGTGAAATCCCTCTATTCAAATTACATTACAATAGCCACTTATTTCCTACAAGTATACTCATAGACTCTGTTACACCTGTGACTACGAGTCACTCATTGTCAACAGTGAACATGTTGAAATTAAAGCTTAAAAAAAATACACAATAAAAGGAAAACCAAGCAAGTCATGAATACACATGAAGGGAATGCGCGAATGAGTGGGAAGATGGCATGGGAGTTTAGCACATCCACATGGCCATGACAAGTCCAACAAAGGAAAGAAAAGAAAAACAGACAAGAAAAAGGAAAGGAGGCACTGGACAACGGACATGTTGGAGGGAAGAAACTGCAAGTGTCAGGTGTAATCAGTCGATCTTTGTGCAATCTTTTTTACCTCATTTCACAATTTGCTGATCAGTCCGCCATCAGCCAATCGGCTTTTATTTCCAAATGGCTGGTGTGGAAAGATAGTTTCAAAAACTTTGGGGAATGAAGTCAGAGATTCAATCCTGGATCAAGTGATGGCACAATGCGATCATGCAAGCACAGTGATCAACCAAGCGCACCAAACATAGGCAGTCTCTACAACATGTGCATGTACATTTGCAGAGTGCCGCAACCGAAACCTGGTTTTTAATATTGAAGGCTGTACATGTAACTCATAAATTTATATTTTAATGTTTCAGAGTATTTTGAAGTTTTTCAGCATGACATATTCAAGAATACCTGTTTTACGTCTATGAGTACATGTAACATGGACACCAGACAATTTTTAAAGAAAAACTTACACTTGTTACCAACGGTCTTTCCTTATCAACCATGTCAACAGGTGGAGAAATGGCAAAATGGACTTAAAGTGCACTACAAGCAGTTACATGTGCATGAACAAACATTACTTACGAAGTGGACATGATAGCTGATTGGCTGGGACTAGCGAAACATGCTGTTCTGACTGGCCAATGAAATGTCTCCCTCCCTAGGCTCTAGGACAAAGAGGTGAATGCACTGTGAATAAGAAGTTCTAGAGCGAATCTACACCATCTTCTTGTTCATCGTAATGCAAGCTGTCCCAAATATCACCCAAAAGTCATGGGATACGGTACACAAACCTGTTCTGCGGAATTCAGTGGCGTAAATCTGTGTTGGAAATTGGAGGGGATGGGGTGGGGAAAGGTGGGGGGATGACTTGCCCGGCCATGGAAATTTGAAAAGTGGAGGGGAGCACAATTTACACTACATAGGGGGCGATGTTCATGATCAAGATGTACGTTTGTAATGTGCATCAAATTCAAGCTGAATCTTCCATCAGAATAGTATATTAATGGCTTTTTAAAATTGCTTTCCCTTTTACATGATACTGCAAACATTTTTCAAAAATTTGAAATTCTTCTAAATCAGCTTTTTTATGCTCATCACAAAAAAGTGTGTGTGGGGGGATGGTTCAACAGCACATCCCCTAACCTCAAAAAGTGGGGGGGGGGATATATCCCCATCTCCCCCCTTCCCCCGGAATTTACACCCATGGTAGAATGAAAACTTTATCTGATGCAAGATCAATCAAAAGACCAACAAGTTTTGTCACTAACTTCAGAATCCTGCTGATTACAATGTATGTACATGATATACATGATGTAATACACATTTCTTAAACATTCACTGCCAAAAGTGGCAACAATTTTCAAGCATAATAATATACATGTACCACAATGACACCTCAATCCCAAAATGGCATAAAAAGAGCACTCCTAGTGTCCCAAAGATAAGAGTGATGAGGCATTTTGCACAGAGTGGCGGGGTATTATTCTGCACTTAGGCCTATTACTAGGCCTAGGCTACTAGTACTAGTAGCTGACTTGACTAGGCCTGGGCCTCCAACCAAAATCAAAAGTTGCACAAAGCATACCCGTAGGTTAAATAATTGAATTAAAAACTCTGCCCTCTTTTCACAACATCAACCCCACAGTTATTGTGCATGATGTCATAGGCCTAGTTATCTATCAAGGGAATCCGAAAGTTAAAGATCTATCCTTTTCACGAAATCAGTTCAACGCAAACATCATTGGAGCTGTGTGTATGTGATGCAAAAACATCATCAATCATGCTCCTAACTATTTGAATCCGTCAAAGTTGAGGTTCTTAAGTGTGCAATAAACACAAAACTTCAAATTCCTTATTCTGAATAATTTTCAGTTAAAAGTGAGAAAGAATAGTCAGAAAACACTAACCTTTTCTTCACAATTTCGCGCTCTACCGTCAAAATCAATTGGAATGTTTATGCAGCACCCAGCGATAATTGTGTCAAGAGAGGGCGCCCGACTGGACTGTCAGTGGACGCGACGCTTCCGGCGTGCAGTCGAATGATCTGGACACGGCTGATTACAGCACAGTTGGCTGCGGCTTGAAGCTATATGTATATACATTCTGTAGGGGAACTCGCTGTAGGCTTGAGTGTAATAATAAGCCGCAGTCAAGACTTTCGGACACGGCCAGAATTGACAGAGGCTGAGAACACAATGTATTAAGTGGTTCTGTTTAGTTTCAAATGACCACGGGAGTATTGATTGATCCATAGCTAAAGGTTGATTATATCGTGATTATTAATGACCTGTTCCCACGATGGCAGAAAAAGTCAGTCAGCTTCGACCCAAGGTACATCAATGGAACGTCACTCGGATTCTGTTCAATTTTGGGTCTTCAACGCGGATATTATTCATTTCACAACTCTGTAAAGCATTTTAAAAACCGGACCCTGCTACTGAAATTGGACCGAAATTCCCCAATCGCCGCCTCACAACAAAGAAAGTGGGCGGTCTCAGACGAATTTCTTGCCCGCCAAATATTGGATTAATTAACCAATCACACTGGCCAGATTGATGAACCTATTACGTCTCTCCCAACAGACCAATCATCATTGAACGGCATAAGCAATACAGTTTGACGATTTTTTTCAGGCGCACAACTATGTATGTAGTCCCGGCTCGTTGACCATTAGATCTTAAAGTAGTACTCTGAATTTATCAACGAAAACATTTTATTCAGGAGGGGGGATCAATTGGGAATTCAATTATTTTCTGATAAACAGATAATCGCACCATCACGTACATAAATATTTAAAGAAGATAACATTTCAAAGGTCCCAGTGCGGAGAAATATAACCAATAGTGCTGTGTCCCGCAGTATTTGTTTCTTTGTCATTACGCCACTGGAATTCAAGCAGAGAGGAGGGTTGTGTAATACACCGAATCGTCGCCACGAAAAAAATCAGCCACGAGAGACGATGATGAAATTGTGTGCTCTCCTACGACTAAAGTTTGAAAACTTTGGCGATGCCTCAGTGAATTTTCTTTGCTACAGTGCCCAAAGGTTGGCTGCCCAGACTACCCTTGCTGTGTGACCGAAATCTGCAAATATCAAGGGGCATTACTCGTCAACAGCACCGAGGAAATGTTGTAGTCTGTTGACTCAGCATTCTTTGAATTTTTCGTCCAAGCCTTGCCTCACATGCCCGTGCCCAGGTGGTGAACCCCGGACTTACCAGGGTTTGCGGATGTATCTCGATATAGTTGGGAACTTCTCTTTCAGGATGAAAATGTTTGTGTCACTCCACAGCCCCGCTAAAGGCCAAAACTAAGGCTGGACGTTGGTAGATATGTGAGTAACTTTAGTGAACTCAGTATAGAGTGATGTTTCATTGGTTTTTCAACTGAACTAGACTAAAATAAACCCTGTGGACTTGTGGACTCATGTGTGTCAAATGATCTGAATGACGATTTGGAGTTGGAGGCCATACTGCACAAAAAAGAAGCTTGGTGGTAAGTGCAATGTTTCATTGCAGGGAAAAAGCCGAGGTATGTGATGAAGTTGACTTTTGTGAAGTTTACATTTATCTCGCAGAACTTTTAAGAGTCGCAGGCAAAATCAAAAAGTCTAGTAACTGACGCTTTGGTCTAAATTAGGCTTCAGAACAATTGTTTTTCATGGCGTGTGATCCGGGGCTTTTTGATATTTCTTGCCCAAAAAGAGTGGGTCCAAGCTGTCTGCTTTTGTCTTAATAAATGCCATACTCTTGCAGTACTGTCTAGTCTTTGGGATGTTATTCCGTCTAGCGCAAATGGCCAATGAAATCGTGTCTTCCATTGTTCGATCTGCATGTAAAGAAATTCCACGTGCATTCGAAGAGCCAACATTTCGGCGAGTGGGCGTGGTTTGTATTCGGCATTCATTGACGCGACGTGAAACTTGAAAAGCCGTGGTATGCAGGCAGGTGTCGATTGCTGGCTCAACTCATCAAACCCCGAGCTGAACACGTGCGCAGGGCGTGGGACAGCTTTCTCGTGTCATAGGGGCACCGACTTATTTGATATTTTGTATGTAGGTACAATTTCACCGTGTCGGTGCTAACCGATTGAATTTTTATTGACTTTCACCAACTGGCAAAGAAATGACAATGGCGGG